AGATAAACATGCTACCTTTGTCTAGCATATTAATAAAAATACATAAAGCTCTGCGTGCACTATGCTAGAGAATAAGAAGGATTCATACCTTATTTTTACTTGTTTGGTTTGTGCTTTAATATGAGTATTGCTTTGGATCTGTACCAGCAAAAGCAGATGTGGATCTAGCATTCGTAGATTAGCACACCTGCCAAGTGCTGAGGATCAAAGAGAGGATAGCTGTTTTGGGGAACAGGGATGTTCCTTGAAAGCCTGGTTGACTCTCCTGCATCTGATGTAGATTCTGTGTTGGATATGAGGGAGATGAGGCAGGGCTCAGCTGCAAGCACAAGGGAAAATGAAAAGCTAAGGAGCTGCTTATGAGAGTTCCCAGTCTTACTCTTGCTGGATGTTAGGTAGTAACTTGACAGAAACTTAAGAAAGTGCTATTTTTGCACACTTGTAACCATGAAGTTATTTTTTCTGAATACATTGAAGATGGTATCCAGAGAATGTTTTCTTTGTTTAACTGTGAAGAGGCAGCCATTAGAACCGGACTTGGGGTCCTAGTATTAAAAAACCCGCTTTTTTGAACTTCTGATATGTACAGAATTTATGGAGGTAGTTTTTGTCATAATATGAAGCAATGACTTCATTAATTTCATGCATCTCATGATAGCAGTTAGTTTGATTATTTTATTTTCTGTGGTGTGGACAGTGTACAGACTCAGTGGCATCTTAATCACTAAACTTACATAGGAAAATATGTTCACCAATGTTAAAACCAAGAAAAATATTCACATCTATGCCTATCATATAGCTTATGCAGACACATGCTTGCTTTTGAACTAAAAAAAAATATTTTGTTTTCTTTTGATGTTTTGGTTTTGGTTTGTAGGGGTCTTCCGGGGTTTTTCAGTTTTAGCTGTATTTCTCTTTTCACAATGTTTTTGAGAAAAAATAAAACATTTAACTTTGAAGTGGGTTTAAAATGTAGAAACACCTTGAATGCAGTTTCCTGTATACTCAAGGATTATGCAGCAGCATGTATAGTGACTTTCTGTTTTGTCTAGGGTAGTAATATATTGCTCTTTATGGTAAATACCGACATCAGTATTTTAAAAATCAAATGGTTTTATGTCAGCTGATGTTTCTTAGGAGCTGAATGACAATGTTTGTTTCAAACAATGCCAAAAATGCATTTATTAGCTTTAATAGGCATAGTCAACTACTTGTAACACTTGGAGCTGAAATGGCTTTCTCAATGTCTTCAGTATCTTTCACTTCCATATGCCTAGAGAGGATGCTGCACTTAAAGACTTGCCAGGCTGGTATGGATACAGGTGATGGGGAGACCTCTACAAGTTTAAGTGCAGAATTGCCAATTTGTGACTTGTCTCCCAAAGTCTTTGGCTTGGGGTGAGAGTGGTCCTGACCTGTGGTGCCTCTGAAGGTCTTTCTTTAGCTGATGCAGTTCCTCTTGCAGAACCAGTGCAGAATGCAGAAGCATATACCTTGTTCTGTAAGGTGCATCTCACAAATATACTGCAAGACTTCACAAAAAGGCTCACAGTTTATAAACATAGTGTGTTCTGGTGCTTCCTCTTGGTAAGCCTTGTTGTGCTATGCCTTTCCTATGCTGTATTTTCTCTTTTAAATTCTCATTTCCTGTGTTTCTTTGCTTTCTCCAATGACCTTTGTGAATATTTGTCCTTGAACTTTGCTTTCAACATGAAACTGCCTCTTTAAAATAGCAGCTTCTTGAAGTGCAATGCTGACTTTAGGCTTTTTGAGTTTCTGGCAGCACTTTTGCTTCTTTTGGGCCCATTTGCATCCATGTACTTGTCTTCCTGGTCAGTATCTTCTGGAAGAAAATAAATCAGGTAAAGTCAGTGCATTGGCCTTACTTGCACTGAGGCAAAATGTCTATCCTGGCTCATCAAAGACTGTTTTTCAAGGGCCTAATTGTTACCCCTTGATAAATCTAATGTTCAATACCGTTGCCATAATGGTGTCTGATCATCTGATCATATCTGACTAGATGCTGTTAATTGGTGTCTTTTTAGAAAACATGCCAAAGAACAGAGTTTGAAGTGCTACTAAAAATGCTATAAAAGCTTTAAATAATCCTACCAGGCTTTGGAGAAGCCTGCTATCAAGAAAAACACAGAATGATCTGGGTGGACTATTTTGAATGCTTCATACTGAACTGCACAACGTCTGTTTATATGTTTTTGTTTAAGGATAACTATTTTTGTCCATGTGTGAAGTAATTAAAAACAGATCAGTATTGCTACAGCTCTCATAAAGAAGCCCCTTAAACATCGATGGAAAGATGCTACTGGAGAAAATCCTTGGTGTGGTGGAAAGTTAGTATGTCTGTTTTCTTAGTGACAGTGATTTCAACTCCAAATGCAGATTAGATTCAGCAACCAGTATGATATTTGCAACACAGAAAATTTTAATTAGAAGTGAATTTGGACAAATTCTTAACCATGTTAAGAGTTTCGCAACATTGGCCAAGTCATTCTACTAGCATTTCTCCCTTTCCAAATAGTTAACCATTTCTGCGCAGTGTAAGACAGTGTTAGTTTGAAACCAACCAAGACTTTCTGAGTCCTTCTGGAGTCTTCTATTTTTTTTAAACAAGCAGAAAAGCTATAGCTAAATGTCTGACTGCATCACTTCTGCTAAAGCCTGGCAGTACTACAGCTTGAAGATCATGTCAAGGCTTATTCCACTGGGAACAGAACAGCCTTGGCTGCTAGCCTTAGATCTGTCTCTGTCCATGAGACTTGCAGAGTGGCCAAATGGTATCCTGTGCGTATATTATAAGGTACTGGTGCTTTAGATATAACGTCTCGCTGATAAGTGTTTTTTTGCTGGGGGTGGGGGTGGAAAGGGAGGATTCACATTACAAAACCAAATGCTTTGAAGTGGTTGGGGTGGAGTTTACTGGGAAACAATAAGAAAACAGATATTCCCTAATTAGGGACTCAACATTTTTCTTTGTCATTTTTTAGCTTCCCAATGAACAGAAATATACTTTGCTCTAGACATCATTTATTTAAGTTGTCCACTTCTTAAAAATATTTTGTAGTAATGAGTTATCCTAGTCTTTAATATAAACACACATGATGTACGAGGCCACACATTACTGCTTTCCCTGTAAAGGGTACTGCTGGCCTCGATGTCTTTTGTTACAACTTGTTACTATTATTTTTTCTTCCCTCACATTTTATTTCCAAGGCCTCCATTAAGCTCTTGATCTCAAAGGCTGTGAATCCACAAAATACTTCTAGGCAACAGAATTACTTCCCTGCAAGATTTGTGCTTTGGAATTACCAGTCCTTTGCCTCCTTTTTTTTCCTAGGCCAGGAAGACTTTGTAACTTCTTGTCTGAAATTAGTCTCTGGATATTTTTAAAGATAATTTTTAGTTGAAAGTCCTTCTTTTCACCCTTGAACATACTGAAGCACTGATGTCAAGTGCACTATCTTGGTGCCCGAGTGAGGTGCTTCAGAGCTCAAATTCTTAGGTTATCTCATGCTGGAAATATGCATCCCAAAGGGATGATCAGCAGAGATGTAGATGTCTCTGAGAAGAACTAACTAATCTCTATTTTTCCCCTCCCCGTTCTCACTTTGTTAATATGTCGTAACTTTTTGAAAAGGAATAAACAGCCTGACTTTTACTGGCCTACAGTCACACAATGTTTATCAAACACAGATGAGAATTGCTATAAATGTCTTGCTGTAACCTCGATTTTGGCTTTTACGGCCAAAGGTGGTGTGGAGGGGTGTGAAAAGATTTTGTTACAGCAAGTGTGGATTCACTTGCTTCCCTTCTCCCCCTTTCCCAAGGATTTCTGACTGATTCCAGGGCCTGTTCTCCATACAGAGTTTGCAGTTTATTGCTGTTTGCCTGCTAAAGAAAGGGGAAGACTTCATGTGCCTTTCATTCTTCCTGATCATTTTTTCAGGGCAGGTAGAAACCACACACATAAAACTTGTTTAGTTTTTGATCTAGACCATCCATGGTAGCATTTCATTTGATATCTTAAATTTACTTATAGTAGCAAAGCACCAATGCACACAAACACAGAATAAATTAGTGTTTGGGGAATCTGATTTCACTGTGGATAATGGTTCTTGGTAGGATGGATTGCCATGATGGAGTTGAGCCACTGAGAATAGTTTCCTGATCTACTGGAGTGCAGCAGGTGGAACTCCTCATCCTTGCACTTTTGTCGTTATTTAGGGACAAAAAACTTCCAAACCATCGCCATCGTGAATGCTTCTACTGTATCATTCTGTTCTTTTTGTGTCTGAATTAGATGATGAAATTCTTTTCTGCACATCTAAATTCTTGTCTTAAATTCTTTATTGCTAACCTTCTCTTTTGTTTCATAGGAGATGATACTTTAAAGTTATGGGATATTAGACAATTTAAAAAGCCTCTTAATCCAGCCGCAAGACTGCCCAGCTTCTTTCCAATGTAAGTACTCTGATTCCACCAGGTAGAAATAGCAGAAGGTGGTGCTGAGTGGGAGGGATTCTACTGGACCAGAGTTCTCCTCCTCAGTTTTCACTAGGTCCAAAACTGTGCAGAAAGGACTGCACAGAGAGGACCGTATAGCAAGGATTCTTGGCAATTTTAGGACTTCATGTGACTTTAAAAAAATCTCGGGGTTTTTTTGGGGTAATTCATAGCTAGCTTTCCTTGTTTTATGCCATTTTTCAGTCTCATATGTCTGGTGTCTAATTATATTAGCAGCTTCAGGAGGAGGCCCGTTCATTGCATTATGTTTGTGTAATAAGATATTTAAGTAATTCTGAATCTTATTTGGTCTATGATTTAAAAAAGAGCCAGATTGAAAAGTAGACATAACATTAAGGTGCATGGTATCAATTCAGGTTATGATGTTGGAAGTGCTGATGACAGTGTTCTTTGATACTAAAGTACTGGATTGTACTGATTAGTAGTTAGTATTGTATGTAATATTTTTATTTGTATTATCTGCATTTCCAAATTGGATTGCACAGCCAAATCCAACTCTAAGGACCGTTTATACTTTTGAAATAAGATCTTAGAAAGGCATGTAATGGACAGCTCAATCTTGACTGTGATTTGTAGCATAGAGAAAAAGTAAACAGACAAACATTGCTGGCTACTGCATAAACACACTGTGTTACACTATTGAATAATGTAGCGTCAGAGAAAAACAGATCTCATGACTGATTTATTTTTTCACCTAATGATGATAACCAGATTTTTACTACTTCTGTTTGTTTTGCATGTTTGAAGAGTTTACAAGACTTTTGAGCAAAGGAGAATTTTGTTGGGAGGAGGATTTTTATTGTATCTGCCAGTTTTGCACATTTTGTACACAGCTGTAATGGTACATGTGCGCTGTGTCTGATAACTATAGTAGGAGATGACAGCTGACGTGATTTTTTAAAAGTTTTGTCTTGAAAGGACTAACAAAAAAATTATTACTTTTAATGAGTGCAGTTTATATAAGAGTGTTCTACACATTAATTATTGATTTGCCCAGTATGATGATTTGTTTTCCTCAACAGGACAGATTGTTGTTTCAGCCCAGATGATAAAATACTTGTCACAGGCACCTCTGTTAAGAAGGGTGGTGGCAGTGGGAAGCTTATTTTCTTTCACCGGGAGACATTCCAGAAGTTGTATGAGATAGAAGTTACAGATGCGGTATGTATTTTAGTTTTCTTTTGTTAACTATTCAAAATATGAATGACAGCATATCTATAGGCTTCTTTTTCCCCTTATCCAGGTATGACTTAATAACACTACTGTAATTCTTCTTCTCCATATTTAAGAGAGGGAGGTACAGTGGCATGAATAGGTGCTAGTCTCCTATCAATGAAAAAAAAAAAATCTTGGGACAAGATGTTTAAACACTAGGAGTTCCCTGTTTTGGTGCTACTGTTGCATTTCTCAAGGATTTCTGTGAAGCCCGTAAGATCTGTGAAATGAGACACGAATCCTAAAAGTCTTCAATGTTTACGGTGTTTACTCCACCAGTTACCATGATGAAATGCCATATTTGTGACAGAATACCTTCTTATCCCTGAAACTAGACTTGTGGTTACTATAACATGTATTTCAATGGACTCTAATTTATGTAAATGCAACAATTTTGTGGAAAAAGGAAGACATCATTAGGAATCCTTCCATCAAAAATACCATTCTCACCAGTAATACAAAAACGTAAAATTGTGAATCTGTAATACAGAAGGGTCTGTGTATGACCTGAACTGCCTACCTATTTCCTTGTACAGAAGGAAAAGATTAATACCATGGTTGATGATGATCGTGGTGTAAACTTGTGGTGCACAGGAGTAAGCTTATAGATATAACAAATGGGAGCGGGAGAAATTATGACAGAATTGCCATTTCTGAATTATGGCAGTGTTGTATACCTAAGTTCCATTAGTTATTGTAGTCTATCAGATAGCAACTTTGCCATTTTGTTTCAGGTTATTGTTTTCTCCTTCTGTACTTTTTTTCGACCCTGCACAGCAGTCTCTCCTAGCACAGTGGACGCTTGTACTGGAGATCTTTTATGCAGAATTTAAATTTGTATTTACTTTTATTTTCAAATCCCATGGTCTCTTCTAATTCACCGTAAAGCAAAGTCTGCTTGTGGATGAATTTACATCCATAGTTTCTGTGGCAGCAGTCTTGAAAATTTAAAATGCAGAATTCACATCAAAGCAGAAAGCAAGACTGTTTTTCTGGTGGGGGGGGGTGGGGAACCCTTGTTTTGCTTGCAAACATATATTCTAAATACAGTTTTTATATGACGTTGGAAGTTTTATTTAGTACTACAGAATTTCTCCAAAGATAGCAAATTGGATTTTAAGGTTTTCTCCTATGGAACATACCAAACCTCAAATTAACTCGTGGATTTTTGTTTCTGATACAAATATTATAACTAAGTGTAACCTTTTTGGTTATAAAAACATGAATGCCTCAGCATTCCCTCTGAAACAGAGAAAAGGAAAACAGCTACATAAGTGCAAGAGGGAAATTGTTGTCGGAACTCTTCTGTCCTTGGGCAGAAGAAGCAAAATAGCTTAGCAATTCCATTTGCAATGAATTTGGACTCCTTAGAGCTGGGTGTCTGGATGTGGTCGTGATGGCATCTCCATTTAGTAGTGGTGAAGGCAGTAACAGTGTACAGAAACTTCACTTGAACTTTAGGGTTGCACGAATGAGAAGCTTGTCCAATGGTGGATCCTGTATCTCCAAAAGAAATTAAATGGTGAGAATTACTGCTTACCAACGTACCTATTTTGCATTCGAAGGAGATGCAATTTTCATTGACTGACTTTGTCTCCCAGAAAAACAGTTCTTTAATTCTCTGAAGTAAAGAGTCTGTTTACCTGCTGAGGTAGATAATGCTACAAGAGAGTAGAGGAAATACTGTTTTGCTGTAAGTTTCCCTAGAATTGAGAGGTAAAGTTCCGTTCTGCTTGGAAGTGCAGAAGAGACATGGAGCTGAGAACCAACAGTAGGAAATTGTTGGAAAAATAAAATTAAGGGTCAGTAAGTGACTTCACTGGGGCCACTCACATAGTAAAACTTTAAGTATGTGTACAAATCTCAGCAGATTAATAATTTTATACTATAAATTTATGTAGGTGATGATACTTATATGGTACTTTTAAAAACTGTAGTAAATTACTTTTTTCTGTAGGGTTTTAGTGCTGCTGTTTTTCTTCATTTGTAGTTATAAAATTTAAGACTGTCGTTCTCCTGCTTTGATTTGAATATAATGGATCAAATGAAAGTAATGGAAATAATAGGTGAAGAATTGAGACTTATAAATGCTGGTCTTATGACATAACTTTCAGTGAGCTAGCACTAATAATACCTCTACAATCAGTTGGTCTAGCTTCCAGCTTCAGCACTACACTTCTAAGAAAAACACAGCTAAGCGTATCAACCTGAATCTAAAAGTAGAAAATTTACTATAAGTCATGCTGTGAAATAAAAGCAGTGTATTTTTTTCAAGGTCTTTCTATTGTTTGTACCTTTCAGCTTTTTCCTTAGTGTTCCTTTCTTATTCTTCTCAAACTGCATTATCTGTTGAACTATAAAGGCATGCTAAAAAGTAAACTTTCAAGAACCTGGCCTGTGTGTTTTATAATCAGTACCTGCTGTATGGTGGAAAGATCATTGATATGTATATATATTGGTAGACCAGTATTTTTTGTGTAGTTTATCAAAGCATTTTTTTCAGCAGTGCGGTAATTGCTTGCTTGCTGTGGACTACTTTCCTGGTTTCTACTTTTTCCTTATACTTGCTCAAAAATGTATATAGTGTAATTAAAGATTAATGTAATGTTGTCAAAGACTTCAGTTTGTCTTCTGTAACTAAATATCATACTTATTTACCTTTTGTATGTTATCTAGTGCTTAAATACATAATTTCAATGTTTCTGGGTTTTTTGTTTTTGTCATTGCATAGATGAAGTGACACTATGCCATTATGTGTAGTAAAATCACAAATATGCCAATATCTGTTTCTGCAGAGAACTCTATCTATTCTAATTTCTCATTAAAATAATTTCAGTGGTTTCAGTTGGGTTTACTCCAAATTGCTAAAGAAAAAGGGCATCATTAGTCATTTATTTCAAGTATAAAATGAAAATAAGAAGACTTTTTGAGGGCGATTATGTACCAGTTTAGTGGTAAAATGTATATAATCAGCATAACAGAAAATTTGCTGTGAAGATAAAACAAATTATTAATGTGTTACTTTTTTAATTTCATAAGGATTTATTAAAGGAAATGCTGTCAAGCTTAAAAATTGAAAAAAAAATCATCTAAGGAGCAGTAAACATTATCTTAAACCTCCTTGGTAAACAGCCAGTGCAATTGGCCTGTGAATGAACCCAGGGGGTAATGGGAAAATATTTAATGAGAGTGTTTGACCAAAGCTGTGTCTGGCATTCCTTTCCATCATACCACACAAACCTTTTTTCACCTTTTCTTTCAAGTTTTCATGGGAGAACCCATTACTGTTTCAGAGCTGCTGGAGTGAAACCTTGTGGTTTTACTAATGGACTAATGTCTGATTAGTCTCTGCTGTTGTAGCTGGGTACAGAATATTAATTTGCTCTTTATTTCACGTATTGGTCTTTTTTATTTTTCAAAGTCACAATCTGTGGCTAAACTAGCAGCTATATTGTTATATCTACCCCACTATATAGGCATTGGGACTTCTCTAGAACAGGGCAAATACACAATGATGCTTTTCTGTCTGTGCTGTTCTGGCTATGGCTTAGAGATACCTTGATGCAAACATAGGAAACTTACAGTTAATAGCACTCAGTGGATTTTTCTTCCATGAGTTTATTACGGAGTGAAATTTCCCATCTTGAAGGTTTTTGATGGGATCATCTACTTACTGCAGATCATATCAAAACTCAGGGGTGGGAGCTCCTGCATCTCCCACTCTCATAAAGAAGCTGATACTCTGCTGCAGAACTTCAGCCTTACTCTGGCTCAGTGTGTACTGGTGTGATCGGAAATAGTGAGAGCTTTGTACCGTCACTGTCGTTATGTATACTAAACTGTACAGAATTCCTCTTTTTAACAAGAACTAAACTTTAAAAAAACCTTATTTTGCACACACAATATTTTCATAGTTTCTGTTTCATCTATCTTGAGAGTATTATCTATGATTGGTACTTTTGCTCTCACCTCAAATATCCACAAGAAAATATTTATATTTAACTTTCTCAATTGGAGCATTTTAGGCTTATTTTATGTGAAAGATTTGTAATTGCAGGCAGAATGTTTATTTACTCCATTTAGATGGATGAGGAGCCTTAAACAGGTGTCAGGAAATAAAACTTCCAGAAGAGGAGAACAAAGCATATGCACAGAAACACAGACGCTATTTCCCTTTCCTTAAGTATTATGATGAGGTCTCATCTTTTGCGATGTCTGTACCTGGAGTCTGTTTCTGGAACGGAAGAAAGATGTCATTGTCAGATGCAAGTCAGAGAGGGTTTATTCTTGGTTTGGTCATGCAAGTATGAGATCTTCATGGGAACCAGTTATAAATACCTAGTGTATGGGAAACAGAGTTGGGTACACAGCATTTCCCCCAATGTCAATTTAATTCAAAATAGCTGTGGATAGACACTTGAATCACTCTCACATGTCTATCATTCATTTGGCTAGTTCAAACAGGTCACCCAGTAGTTATCCTTATTACAGACAAGATTGATTTTGGCAGCAGTACAGCAGTCATTTTTCCCGTATGGAAAGAAGTTGACAGGCGGCTGAACATGAGCCAGCAGTGTGCCCAGGTGGACAAGAAGGCCACGGCATCCTGGTCTGCATCTGAAGTAGTGTGACCAGCAGGACCAGGGACGTGATCTTGCCACTGTACGTGGCTCTGGTGAGTCTGCACCTTGAATCCCGTGTTCAGTTTTGGGCCCCTCACAACAAGAAGGACAGTGAGGTGCTGGAGCATGTCCAGAGAAGAGCAATGAAGCTGGTGGAGGGTCTGGAGGACAAGAATTAAGAGAAGCAGCTGAGGGAGCTGGGGTTGTTTAGCGTGGAGAAGAGGAAGCTGAGGGGAGACTTTATTGCACTCTACAACTGCCTGAAAGGAGGTTGCAGGGAGATGGGGGTCACAGAATAACTGAATCACACAGAATATTAGGAGT